AGTACTAATGAAAGTGAAATGGTATAATAAAAATCATTTTCATAATGTGCGTAATTGCGTGCGATAAATTTTAAAAGCGATAGATTTGAGTCAAAGTGCCATCTATGACACGAAATAGACTGCTGTGCGATAAGAAGTGCTATGACAGTTAATAATACAGGAGAATGTCGAGAACGCGTTATGCCATTTCATATCACCACAACGCGTTGTTGACTGTGGTTAAAAATCATATGAGACGCGATTCGAAATCCGTACCGTTGTCGTTTCGATTTAGCCATAAACTGTTGTGGACACATTAGTGTTTTTAAACAAATCAAAATATAATTTATTGAAATAGATTTTACAAACACTTTTGAAATTTGAATTGTCTAGTTAACATTTTTAAATTTGATTTAAATGACCGGAAATGTCCGGAAGACGGCTCTGCTGAGAAAAGCAAGCATTCAATTAATAAAAGGTCTTCAATTTATCATAAAAAATGACTTGAAATACTATTTAATATTTAGTTTACATCCACTAGACATGTCTCTACTTTATATAAGACTAGCGGCATTCCTTGCGTCGTTCGAGTGCGTCCCTAGGTGCCTAATATTTCTGTACTAAACTTCATCTCAATCTATCCAGCCGTTTTAGCGTGAAGGAGTAACAGACATACACGCACATACAAACTATCAAATGTATAATAAATAGTACTCCGACTGCACAGAAAGCATAGCAAGTTCATCAAATCTCGATATACTCCATAGATTTAATGGTAACTCAAAAAAAATACGAGTAAGTTCATCCGTCCTTTAATAATATAATATAATAATGCTCGTCTCAACTCTAAACAGAAAAAAAGACATTAAATTATACTTAACAAAAACTTAGGACTAATACCTATATGGTGATATACAGTAGATAGGGAACTCGGCAAAACAAATCGAGTCCAAGTTCATTAATAGATAAGCCCGGTAGTATCAAATTTTTCTATTGTGATCCGGATTTAGTCATACAATAAGTACCTACTTATGAATAAATCCGTACGATAATTAATAGTACAAAGGTTAAATCGAGGCTTCCAAGAGGTGATGAGTTACAACTTGAGTTAATAGCGTGTTAAGAACTATTATAATCTTCTATACATAAAATAAAATTGTAACTAAGCCGAATTTGTACAAATTCGGCTTATTTTTCGATTTTTATTATTATGATTTATCGATTTTATTCGATTTATTGAAATAGACATGATTATCGATACAGAGGCTGAATCTATTGTTTTTAGAATTTTTGTCTGTCTGTCTGTTACCGCATCACAGAAAAACCACTGAAGGGATTTTGATGTATGGTGATAGCTGGTTATCCGGGTCAACATATAGGATATTTTTACCGCGGGAAAAATGTCTCATTTCTGAGAAAAAATACAAAAACTGCAATGTAAGAGTATACTAATATGTAAAACCTAAGAATTTGGTTTTTGGTCATCTGAACGCGGACGGAGCCGCGGGCAATGCTAGTATTTTTATAAAAATTAATAATGTTTCTTTGTATTATTGTCTTCTATGCGTTACTAAATTATTCATCTGATTTTGATGAGTTTTTTGTGAGTTGTTTTGCGTACGTCCTCGAAGTTCCTAACCAATTAATTCTTAGGGACATATCCAAGGAAAATGGGGGTATATCGCTAGTATTTATTAAAAGTCAACCTCTAATACAATACCTACAACTTTAATTAATCGCAATTTTGTTTCATCAAAATCATTATTGATTGATTATTATGGAAGTTACAGTAATTAAATTCACCGCAATAACATATTTCGCTGTTTTGATTTAAAAAGAATTCAATTTGCAACATAATTTTTACTTAAGTATTATATGTTAATGGATAAACCGCAAAGAAACGAGCAATTTTTAATTAATTCTACGAACAAATAGTTACTAAATATTTATCTTTCGTCAGTAAAGAAGTAGTACGAGTACTTTGCATATAAATGAAAATAATAATATATTAAAATAGCATATATATATATATATATATATATATATATATATATATATATATATATATATATATATAATGTACAGATTCAAATGAGTTAGATTTTTATTAATGAAAAACACTAATGGAGATCTATTAGCTCCCACGGGAACCGTTCATTTTTCCGGGATGAAAAGTAACCTGTTGTTTGACCGGCAATATAAGGTATCAGAATGTTAAAGTTTACTAAATTAGGTGCATAAGTTGTTGTGTACTATATATTATAAGATACTATAGTTTTTTAACTGTCCCACGGGAACCCTTTAATTTTCCGGGATAAAAAGTATCTAAGATGTTGCCCGGGGATATAAGGTACCACCATGCAAAATTTCATTTAAATCGGTCTAATAGATTCGGAGATTAGCCCGTACAAACAGGCAAACAGACAGAGAAACAAAAAAAATGAAAAAAAATATGGAATTGTTCTATTTGTCTTCTTACATCCCCTTGACTCGGTTTTTAGCATTTTTTTGCTATGTACAGACATTCGACCTCTACTCTTTTACTATAGTATCGATATGTATAGATTCATTTTTTTCTGTAATAGCTTGGAATTATTTGAATATGTACATTCAAATGAGATCTTTTTTGCCTTAGGTTGTCAATGAAACTTTTACTGTATTATAATTTTCTTCCCATTTTACTGTCATAATAAACAAATGTAGGGTACAGAAATGCTAGAAAAACGAGTTTCATTTCAATGACTCACTCTTTGAATTTATTGGCTTTATGTACATACAATTATCTAGTTCATGTCGAGGCTACTTGTTGGTATAGTTGTAGTAGCAGAGGTCGCATGTTTACAAACATTAATTTCAATATTACTTTTTATAACGAATTTCTTATATGGAAAACTTAAAAAAAAAACAAAAACAAGGAAACAGGTAGATAAAATAGACAATGAAAAGAGTAAAAGAATCGTTCTTATGTTCAAGACTGGATAAATGGTTACTTTTTATTAAAGAAGGTTAGTTTACTTAACAATATACGTACCTAGTGGTACTAGTACGTGCATATTGTATACATACTTTTAAAATATTCCATCCTTCTAGGGCAGTTGGGATAGCATTCATAAACCACTTAGGTAATTAACGTACTGTATTTTGAAATTTTATACTGACACAACTTTTTTATATTTATATTTGACCTATAACAACCTCAACATAAATGAAACACATTTGGACCGTGTTAAGTAGTCTCATCTCGGGGTGAAATGTAAATAACTCGGGAATCTATGGAAAGGGAGGCATGCTGACTGTGAAATAAAGTTTAACCTTAAAAAGCCGCCACAACTTGACCTAACCTTGGCCAGATTCGGTTAAAGCGAAACAAATAGGAAAAATATCTCTACTAATATATTCATATTATTCACGTGTAATTTTTTTTTAAATGTTTTCTTATGTAGGTAATATAACAATGTATTTATTTAAATAGATTAAAATTACACTATTAAGTCAAGGAAACGATTCGACAAAACATTGCGTGGCGGCTCTGTTATGTCACAATTTCATAATCGGCTATAATACTGTGTCTTGCTATTAGCCCCCTTACCAGTTTCTCTGTTGGTAATTTTTATACGATTTCACTTCTGCACAAACAATTTATTGCTCAATTTTATGTTTTGATCATTTTTTGTTTCAAGTATTCAATGCACATTTAATAATAAATAATAATTCAAATTGTCTTTTAATTCATATAATATAGGTACTTACTTTTAATTCATTTTGTTTTTCTTTTCAAGTAAAGATTTTTATGTTTCTTGCCTCATGTGTTATGTCGCTAAAATTTATTTAATTTAATAATAGAATAGTAAATACCGAGGCTTACACATTTCTGTATTATAAAGTAATGTAAATCTAAAGTTTAATCAACTATTTGATGTGACATTCAAGGTTAATTTACATTACAAGACACCGATTAACAACACACTGATAATATAAAAAGCAAGCTTTTTTAATAAAAGACCTTCAGCGTCTACAGCAGACTTAAAAGATATCGATTAATTGAATACGAAATCCATTTTTATTTCTCATTCGACTTTCAATATTTTTTTAAATAACTGAGAAGTAACTATACATAATTCTTATCTAGTGGTTTTTTCATTTTTGCAGTGTTTGCTTATAGTTATCTATCAATAATAACCTTTTTAAAACTCTTAATTTTATGTTAATAATGTTAAAATAATGTGGGTTTTTTGCTACTGAGCCATATATCGATTCAGATTGACCTCTTCTACATGATGAAAGTTTATGTTATATGTATATCATGTTACATGTATATAATTTTAATTTGAATTTTTTGTAAATATAATTATAACATGTTATAAATTATACATACGATCTAGTTACGAGTATATTGTTTATATCATTAAAGGCATTTATACATTTATGATGCCACTTCCGAGGATATTCATAGACAAATTATGCAGAGTCAAAACTTTTGAAATTTCTCTAAGTTATAGGAAGTTACATAGGTATGTATTACTTTTTGTCCAGGTAGAAGTGGTGCCTATGAAATATTAGTATATCGCTAATAATATTTATTAGAATCCGAGCTAATCGAGGGTACCTCACTACTTTTAACTAACAATAAGAAGCCTTTCTTAGTTTGGTGAAGTAGGTAATCTGTGTCCAACTGGCACGCCTAAAAGCCAAATAACAAAAAACTGAATTGAATTACTTTCTTAGATATACGCGAATATTTGACATTTTAAATAAAACTATCTTTTTTTGGTGCAATTTTCATTTTGTTAATTGTGGGTAGGCTGTCTGTAATAACTATACCTTCGAGACATGTAACACCTGTCTCTCCCGTGACCATGATTGCTGTAAAGCATTCGAAACGTCGGGAAACAAAAATCTAAATAAATCCGCAAAAAAATCCGAAAAGATAGTTTTATTTAAAATGAATTGAATTAGTTTGTTTCATAATGGAATAATTTTATAGCGTAGTTTTCCAGCTAATTTCAATTCATTTGTTTCAGCGAGCCGTATATCCCACAAAATTTGACAGGAATGACTATGGCGTTGGCGAGGGGGAAAACTGCGCATATGGATGTCGTTAGAGTCGAAACTAAAAGTAAAGTAAGTAACAAATTGTTATTTCAGCTTAGTATATTTAAATGTAGAATCGTATAAATCTTTTGGAATACGACTTTGTTTTTTCAACATTTCATATTTCGATAGTAGTTTTGGCAGTTCTGTGGGTCTTTTATATACTTTATTGTATAAGTTTACTATTATATAATGTAAAGAAAAATTTGGCAAAGGAAATTGAACTATTCGTCTTGGATGAAAATAGGACGTGTTGGATGTTACAAAGCCTCCATTAAATGGAATGGAGTAAATATTTTTAACGAATGTGGGGATTATAAGTTGATTATACATAATTTATTAATAATTTTAACAGAATTTATTTAATTTTAATGTTTACAACACTAAATAACTAACGAAATATCAGTAAAAAGTAAAAAAGCTACATCGATTTTAAAATCTTTTAATATGCCTAGTACATACTTATAAATGCGTAGCTACTGCTTTATCCTTATGAATTACTAGCTGAACCCGCGGCTTCGCTCGCTCTAAAATTACAAAAAAAAACTCTAAAAAGGTAGTTTTATACAAACTTTCATCCTCTATTTTACCCCCTTATAAAATGAATTTCGAAAAATGTTAAAACAAGTATTTATTTAATTTTTTTGAAGAGCATTAATACCAAGTTTCAAGTAATTCTGATCAATAATATTTTTTTGGATTGTATTATAAAGTGTTCTCCCGTGGGAATTAGGTAAACTTCCGCGGTAAAAAGTAGCCTATGTCACTCTCCAGCCCTCCAACTATCTCCACACAAAAGATCACGCCAATCCGTCACTCCGTTTCGACGTGAAAGAAGGACAAACAAACAAACACACTTTCACATTTATATTATTAGTGTGGATATTGTTATGTTATTCTTAAGTTAAATTACTTCATGTACCTATATTATCAATAAGCATGTATTAATTTTATCTCATACATATTTTATACCTACCCACTTACTAAATATAAGGAAGTTGACATATGGTAATTAAAAGTAGATAACAGGTGCGTAAAATCGATACTAACACTGGGTAATAATGTAATGAACTAAATAACATGTATATTATTTCGACATAATTCAATATATTAATCTGGTTTAATGTTTATAATTAGGTCAATTCGTATCGATTAAGCAATTAAAAACATTTGTAATTGAAATATATGCGTTTGTTTTTTATTAGGCTTAAGAACTTATTTCAACGTCGTAGATAATACCAATTTATCTTTTTTCACCTTCAGCTATAATATTACACTATTCAATTGACTGCGTCCGTCATAACAAACAAGGCACGGCGTAGTGTAGTGCGGATACAATTATTCCCATACTTCTATTAACATCCGTATCTACGCGATTATGATAACGCGTATTTATTGCTCACAATTCAATAACTTCGCAATATAAACATACGCTTATACCTATTCCTATTGATATTTCATATCGCACGTGCTTCTTGTATTGTAAAAATTAAGATTACGATCGCCTAAACCCTAAAAAAATCTATTAAATCCAGTTTTAGTAGTAACTAGATGAAGCGTTACCATGAATTTTAATTTCTACGAAGCATTAGTGTGTTATTTAGTGATATATTTTATCATTTATGTAATCTTTCTCTTTTGGTTTTATATTATGCTAATTACTTTTAACACAATAAAACTCACGTTAATTATATTTTTACAGATAATGTTTTCCTTCTTATCGGTGGGTTGGGGTTTGCTATCAGACATCGATATAGAGAGTGAAAGATTAAGAGCAATTGGAGGACAGAGGTTTACGCTCTGGGCATTAGCGAGGCTGGTCGGATTGAGAAAATATAAGGGGGTCGTCAGTTACGCCAAAATAAAGGATGTTAGCAATTTGCCAAAGCCGAAACACCCGCTAACAATAAGTCATAGCGTGAGTCAAGATGGTGCTCTCGATTCGCCGGACGCGGAAGCGTTCTTCGATTGCGATGAAAATTCTGAAATTTTTACGAGCGCAGTGAACGGGAAGCAACACCAACGTGTCGACTCGTGGTACTCGGTGAACTCACGGCGAAGTGCGTTCTACAGTACACGAGGCTCCGAATATCACAGCGTGACTAGCATAGGTTCCGAAATGAGATCGCCCGTCCACGCGTGTATGCACGGGCCGGCTTCGCATTTGCCCTCTCTCATGTCTCAATTACCCTCTCATTGGGTTCACGAGCACGGCGAATTCGTTATGGTCCACGTCTCATATCAATCGTATATCGGCGAAGATTTATTATTCGCACCACGCTCCCAATTATCAGATGGGGTCATGTGGATGCTTATCATCAAAGCGGGCATATCGAGATCACAAGTTTTTTCATTCCTTCTAGGAATGAGCCAAGGAAATCATTCCGATATAAACACGGAGTATATCAAAATGATTCCTGTAAGCGCTTTCAGAATAGTGCCAGAGGGACCAAACGGCTATCTCACGGTAGATGGCGAGCTCGTAGAATACGGTCCTATTCAGGCCGAAATATTTCCTAACATAGTTAATTTATTAGTACCAGATACGAAATAACGTTTCGTTCCACATATGATGTGTTAGCACTAATTTGACTGATTTAGTTTGAAGACAGTTACCGAGCCGATGCTTTGTGCAGTAAATGGTTTTAAAAAATAGAAATTATTCTTATATATCACGAAATGGTTGTGCCAGAAGAAACATTTAAATTAATTAAATTTTAAGTAACTTTAAAAAATATTGATAAACATATTATGCCATTCCGTTATCATAGTAATTTATTATCTGTCCATTTAAAAACAATATAAAATTCCTTAAAACAGCTGCAATTGTGATAATAATTTAAGTGAATTGGTTCTTTCGATGAAAGATGTAATAATGGCTAGTCAAAAATTACGAAAACAGTGCCAAATGTTCTGCACTCTAAAATGTTTTGAGGGAATTGATCAATAATTACGTATCTACTAATAAATATGTTAATTATTCTAAATGAGGTTCAAAAGTAGGGCATATTTCCATTCAATCAAATGTAATGCAGATCGTATAGGTATTATTTATATTATTTAAACGCCTTTCGCATTTTGTTTATTTTTAATTTAATAAAACAGATTTGCTTTACCTTGCAACTTTTAAATCAATTCTCTTATCGGCTCCACAATTAGTTTTTGATAAGATTATCTTAAGTAGGTAGGTATAAAATTAATATTCTTTATAAATTATTCTTTCTTTTAAATTATTTTAAAGATTTTTTATTAACAATTCCTGGAATGAGGTCGCGTTTGGGTGATAGGAATATATTTTAAAGATGAAATAACTATAATAATTTGTATCTACGGACCGCTATGACTTTTACGGCCCGGCTACACGCTCCGTCTTGCCTGCGCAGTCCAGACCTGTGCACTCATGACTGTAGAAAAAGACGGAACACTGTAACAAACAAACTAAAATGTGCAATCTTACTTGTGTTTTGAGAGCCGGCAACAATTTGTATAGTTCTATGAAATGAGTTAAAAATTCCTTTAAATAACTCCCTTACATCACTCATTTTTGATTTGCGAAGTGTACTTTGTCGAAAATAATTTCTTCGGACTAATGCGCGGCTTGAAAGACCGGCAACACGTTCAAGTAAATCCGTGCAAGCCAAGTTTACGCAGTCCAAATCTTCAGCAAGTCAATGATTGCACAAGCCACGCTTCCGGGACTGAGCGAGCTACCGTCTTGCCGTCACGGACGCCCTTACCTGCGCAAGCTGGTTTGTGCAGACATATTCGCAGGCAAAGCGGAGCGTGTAGCCGGGTCATTAGTTTTAAAAGACGTTAGATGTGGCTAGTATATGATACCTCTACCTTCAATTACTGGTCTTTATTCTTTTGTGAAGTTGTTCTACGGATTGTATTTACACATAGATAATTTGCAGCATCCAGTGGCCTATATATTTTATTTTTGAAATAATCCTGGAAATAGCTAATATATTTAATATATTTTTATGATTAAAATGTTATATTTACAGCATTTCTTAAAAATACTACTTACTGGCTTATAAATAGGGTATTGGGTGTGTGATTGTATGGTTTATAATAAAATTTAGTGAAATAGAATGTTTGTTATTTACTTAATATAATTAGCAGTATTTGTTTTAAACTAATTGTAATAATTCTGTGATAATGTTGCTTTCCGCCATGCTGGTACTTTTGCGTTGACCCTATTTTCTGTGCCTAATATTCTCTAGCTTTTCTATTAAAATTTTGAATTTTTAATACAGTCAAATATTTACAATTTTTAACTATTTCATGCCATTAATTTTTACTCTTCTAATGTGCACTTGTAGTATTTTATTTTAGCAAATATTTTAGTAAAATCATGTCATATTTACATAATAAGATTATGCAGTAGAATGTATTTTTACCAAAGGTTAATTAATAAATAATTTCTGTTCTTGAAAACATAAAAGTAAAAGATAAATAATTCAATACTTTATGTTCTATATTTCGTGTTATTATATATAGCCTATAGCACAATATGCAATTTTTTATAAAAATAAACTTGTTCCTTGCATGCCTACATATTAACTTTCAGTACATAACAGATGGGTATGTTTACTCAGGTTTTTGGTAATAAGGTTTAAATTGCGCAAATTAATAACTATGATGTTCTTATGTAGAAAATGATTTTTAATGTTTTACATATCTTATTCCATTTGTACCATACATTCCTTAATGTCAACTTACCGAAGATACAAAAATGTTCTAGTTTTCTTTATTAATAAAATATTAAGTTTGAAACTATTAAATGATCAAGGTTGTTGTCAATAAATGGATATAAAATAAATAAATTGTTTTATTTCAACTTGTGTAAAAGAAGAGATTTTCGACATGTGTGATGTGGGGGGTGATACATGATGAATTTTCAGAGTGAGAAGAATGATCAACTATAAAGAACAACCAAAAATGCAATAAGTAATGTCATTACATTTCAAATAAAAAATCATCATTACATTTTTTGTAAAATAGTGGGTAGGCAGTCCGTAACAAGTATAATAGCGCGTTTGAGACGTTTATAACCTTAGTCTCTCCTGTGACCATGATTGCTGTAAAGCATTCGAATGTTGGGAACCAAAAATCAAAATAAATCCGCGAAATAATCCGAAAAAATAGTTTTATTTAAAATGTCAAATATTCGCGTAAATCTAGGAAAGTATTATTAGGGTTTCGTACCCAAAGTGTAAAATGAGATCCTATTACTAAGACTCTGCTGTCCATCCGTCTGACGTCAATGAGGTTGTATCTCATCCGTGATAGACAGTTGAAATTTTCATAAATGATGTATTTCTGTTGCTGCTATAAAACAAATACTAAAAAACAATAAAATAAATATTTAAGGGGGCTCATATACAACCAAAATGATTTTTTGCTCGTTTTTGCTCATTATTTTATCATTTCATTATTAAATCAAGTGATTTTATTATAGGTATATGAATTATTTATATTATTTATAAAACAAATAATCTTGTAATAGTTTTTATCAAAACCTATATGTTGAATGATAATTTACTTCCATCATTTTTTGCTATTCTCTTTAGCTTATTTTCACTATCCACAAACATGGTATATTTAATAGAAATAATGAAAATAAAAGCCTTATTTAAAGTAAATTAGTAAATTTATTTCTAAGATACTAGTTGAACAATGCAATGTGTTAAATCAATTTAAGACCAATATATTTTAACACTTATGATTAATGATAAGCAAACAATTTGTCTCATTATTACTTAATTAGTTTTATCCTAAGTCAATATTATTAATAAAAATAAAGTGATGACACAAATTGCTTAGAATCAGTAGTTTATATTTTTTATGAGCTCTTGTTTAGGCAGTAATATTTATATAAACAGTCTTGGAATTTAATTATAAGAATTTTATCTCAACTTTAAGGAATCAAGACTATCGAGAAGATTTTGTACCTCAGAATCAACTTGTTCCCTTGTGCTCACATTTTCCAATCTTTCTCTTACAGATTCCAATTCCCCTGCATCAGCTTTTTGGATTTTCATATATTTTAGCATCATCTCAACAACTAAACAAATTTCACTTATAAGTTGTTTTGTCTCTTCAAAGTGTCCGGCCCCACTTGGTCTCATTTGTATCAGTTTCAATTTACTTTGGGCTAGTTGTATGGGGTTACGTCCATTCTTATCATGAGAGCTAACATCTGTTCCAGCATCTAACAATTCAATAACAACAGGAATATGATTTGTGCAAGCTGCTAGATGAAGGGGTGTGTTTCCTAATGTGTCTTTTATGTTAGGATTGGCACCATGTCTTATCAACATTTTTACTACTTCAACATAGCCTCGGCAAGCTGCCAAGTGTAAAGGACTTCTTTTGTGTTCATCTGAACAATTTGGATCGGCTCCTGATAAAAGCAGCTTTTCCACAAGATCTGTGTTATTTGTAGAAGCTGCAAAACGCAGTTTTTTATTTCTTGATGAACAAATCGAGTATCGGTACTTCAATCTGCAATGTCTAGCTCTTGTGGAGCATTTTATTTTACCGATGTGGTCATGAGGTTCTCCTAAAAACTCTATTGGCATTGGTTGTCCTGCTAGATTGATTGGTATAGCTGGAGGATTGAACTCTAACACACAGTACGAATGGTCGAAAACAGGATTATCGCTGCTTTCGTTGCCAGTATCAACTCCAGAGTCAGCCATAATAACTACTGCTTTGAGTTAGACCATAGAATACATACCAGATATATTACAAAGGTGCGGAAAACCACACAATTTTTTTTGTGAATCAACTGTTTCAAGAACAACAAAACTTTCTCTAGATTGACAAACGTCAAATTATGTAAATTGTCATAATATCTTGATTGTGTAAATAGTGATGTAGGTATGTACAAAATTGAGTAACATTTAGTTTATTAATTAATATATTAATAATTGTTCCAATAAATAATGTACTTGTTATCATAATTAATGTATTGAAATGGATGACAATTGATATATAAGTCCTACAATATAAATAAACACATAATAAACTTAATTTTAACATTATTATGACTTTTTTAAATTATTTTTCATATTGCATTTTTTAGGTTCCTTTCTATATTATTATTTTTTTAATTTTATTCAAGTACTTATAGATTATAATATACTTATTATGTTTACCGATTAATATGTTAGCATTTTTAGTTCTCTGTCTACGTCACTTAGAGCGTAAAAATATATTTTTAATCTGTATGTTATTCAGAGACGTGATTATGACAGCTACCCTCCATAGACAGATGTTTGACTGACAACGACAGCAAATTCACCAATCGGTTTCAGAAAATAATTTTGGTGATATTTTTAACAACAATTCTGCGTAGATATTACTTAATATGCAGCAGCTTACAATATTTATGGTAAAGATACATTAGATATTTTAAATTGATTTTATGTAAAATTTGAACTTTTAAGTTAAACCTATAACCTACATTTTTTTGCCGAAAGGATATAGAGAGTTCGCGTTCCTATATTGATGAGCTATATTCGTCAAATCCTGAAAAAGTTATGGAAGCATTAGTGACTTTAAAGAATTCAGTGATAGGTAGCAATAGGCAGAAGAGATCTGTTATACAACAAGGGATAGTACCTAGACTGCTCCAACTGATGACTGATGATTCTCTTGATCCAAACATACGATTGGAGGCAACAATCACGATAGGTAAGAGTTTCATATATACATTTTGATATTGTAATTAAAATGTTTTATTTATTTGGTTTACAATCTAGAAACTGAGTTAGAAAAGTGTTTGGCAAATAATATTGACAAGCTTTTTGCCCTTTGCTATAAATGTCATACTATTCATAGAATTTAAGTCACAGTTAAAGAATAAAAACATCAGGGCTGTGCTCTTTTTTTGGTATTTAGTATATAAAGTAGGAAAAAAATATTGTATGCAGTATCCATTTATCTTTATTTTACTTAATCAGACTTGATTAGGAAGACATTGTATGTTATAGATTTTTAATGTTACCTTAAGATATTAAATATTTATATTAGCTCAATTGATAAATTGTCACAAACTATGTACTTCTATTATTAATTATGTTTACTTATTATGTGTTTACAAAAAAACTAATAATATATTTATTACATTTAGGATCTTTGGCAAAAGGCACACAAGAAAATGTAGCGTCTTTAGTAGAACATGGTTCAACTATAGTGTTGGTACAACTGTTAAGAGTTGTCCCAACTGGTACCAAAATTGCAGAAGCATGTTTATGTGCTTTAAGAAGTATCTTTCAACATCCTCCAGCTCCCATTGGTTCATTGCCTGCCGATATGATGCTTCTGACCAGATTGATAGGTAAACAATTATTTATGTTATATATGATACATATAAATTAAATATCCACAAGAAAATATTAGTGAACCTGGTTTTGAAAGTACTTCTGGTTTGTTTTAATCCCTCCACAACCGCAGACACGCCGGCATTACAGTTAACAATAGATTTCTTAGAAATTTAATTAATTTCTTAGGAATTTACCTGGATGTGTCAAGAAAATTTCTGGTTGATTCTTTTAGAATTTAGATAATAATATTATAATATTGTAATGATAACGATAGAGATTTTTTTAGAATAGAGTAAGATCTTGTTTAATTATAATTTTTTTCTTGTTTAATTATAATTTGCCAAAAAGGAATACACAATAGGTTTACATAGCAATAGACTAATGGCAATGCGAATTTAGATAATATCTTAAAACTTAATCTATATTTGGATGTTACAGTTAAAAAAGAAATAAAAATATGAACTTAGAATACACTGCAACTATTATTTTACTGGTCTTTATAATGATAAAAATTTTGATTTAATTCATACCATTTATTTGCCTTAGTTAGGTAACCAAGTAACTTTGTATAATTAATTTATTAATTTACATGCAATGAGCATTAACATAGCTTAACTGGATGTGCTAATTTTAGAGTTAATAAAAAATGATATATTCACTATTCTTTTATCTTCTTTATCTATAGAAGCTGCTCATTTAATTATATTCTCAGTTTACCTAACAGTATTAGTTTCTATGATACATACCGCTATATTACTTTTTATTATATATTTTTTTTATCAGCACCACACTATATTACTTTTATTATATTGTTTTATATATTTTCGTATATACGTACATATCAGTTTCACGGCTGGTGTATAAATGCTTTATTTTTTATTTTTGCTGGTGTAAAAAAATAAAACTATAAAAATTATTAACTTTGTTTATTTAAAATTACAGATCTAAAGATTAATATTTTTAATAATTATGTATTATAAAATAATAAAAATATTATTTACCCAATAGAATTTGTTTAAAAATGTTAGCTATATAATAGTAATTGCTTCTACAAGTAGTTCCTCAATCAAAATATAAATAATAATTAATAATAAAATATATATGATTCTGATAGATTCTAGATAAACTATGTGTACTTATTAATTTATCTTGTTTCAGTAATTAATCTTGAACATATCTTTTTTGGTATTTGTATTAAATCTCAACTAACCAGAACCATCTTGGTTTGACTTTTAGAAAATTCGTTAAAAGTATCCATGCTAATATTATTATGTGAAAGTGTGTTTGCTTGGTTGTTTGTTTGTCTTTCTTTCAAGTCGGAACAGAGCGACGAATTGGCGTGATTTTTTGTATGGAGATAGTTTTAACCGCGGGAGCTTATGTAACTCCCGCGGGAAAACACGTTATAATACAATCCAAAAAAATGATTTTATTAGAATTACTTGGAACTTGGTATTAATTCTCTTCAATAAAATTAAATAAATACGTGTTTAAGCATTTTTCGAAATTCATCCTATAATATGTAAAAATAGGGGATTAAAGTTTGTATGAAACCTACCTTTTAGGATAGCTAGTTGTTTGTGGTTTTAGTTTTAGCGCGAGCGAATCCGCGGGTTCTGCTAGTAATTCATAAATTAAAATGGTATAGGGATTCAAATTATTAAATATATTTAGAAAGTAAAGTAGTTGGATGTATAGTTTTTAATTCAATTCAATTTTCTTTTCAATTGCTTCAAAGTTCAAAGTGTGCAGCCTATAGTTTTTAAAATTATTTTATCTTAGGGAAAAATAATTAATTAACATATTATTCTTATATGTAATAAACTTTTGTTCACTGTTCTTGGCGCAACATTTTTTTTCTCTAAACTTTCTTCTGGCTAAAATGCACATTCAAAAATAAGTTACCCTAATCAGTCCAGTCTCAAGTGAAGTGCGTACAAACGAAATTTCATTTTTATTTAGGTACATAGAAAGCTTATTTTATAAAAGTCTTTGTTTTAAGCAGAGATAGCACAGGACGGTTCACCGACAGCTAGAGCGTGTGTAGTACGTATCCTCTCTATATGGTGTGGTGGGCCCGTGGAGCAAGACGCACTATGTGCAGCGGGCGCGTGTACCGCCATAGCGGCGCTCTTAGCATGTCGGGGGTTCTCTTCACCGCCTCTAGCTAGAGCATTACCTGCCTTAGATCTCTTGGCTGCTATGTGCTTTGAAAATGGAAATGTGTGTGAAGTTGTCCTTAAGACTAAGTAAGTGGGTTTTAAGTTATATTTATTTTTTATCGTTGGTATTTACTGAGATATAAATAAGTATGGGAACTTTGCTCTGTACGGAAATCAAACGTGCTTTTTATAGTAGGGGAGCCCAAGAGGGGATTTTTGTAGTTACTCAAGCTTCAATAATCTGCCGATTTGCACAAGCCGAAGAGGCAAAAATCATCATAAACTTTATAGTCGATTTTTGCCTCTTCGGCTTGTGCAAATCGGCAGATTATTGAATTGGACACTTTTCAGGATGCGACTAGCCTACCACACCTTAATCTGACGGTTTCAAGTTTCTACCTTTCTACCTTATCAAAACATTTTTTAAATATTTTAATCGGCTTCCCTAGACGCGCCCCTTTATATAGAAGACTTATATTATGGTGAAAGTACTCAATAGAGTGCAAGGTAACCTCTTTTATGTTAATCTGCCGCGCTTGAGTAACTACAAAAATTCCCCTCTTGGGCTCCCCTACTATTAGTGACTGAATTCATGTAAATTATGTGATCGCCTCCAAGACCTTTCTATTTTGGATATGATTTTTGAAGTTAGACTTCTTTTGGCACATTTGGAAGAAAATATGAGAGCTAAATTTTTACGATGCGCGCGCACACCAACAGCCAAAAAGCGACATGATGAAGTTAGCTGCATACCTTTTACAAACAGAGAGTTGTGACATACGGGATGAAATCTTTAGCTATTTTTGTTCTTTTACGCCAAAGTGTAACTTCTTACTTGCGTACATAAAACACACACTTTTTTTCATTATTTTAAAATAACGTTAAAAATTAGGACCATATACTCCTGCTACGTTTTCTTCCGAACTGCTAACAGTTTTTGATAAACAACAGTTTTATTTCTGAAATATCAATATTGAATATAGATTTTATTATTTGAATTTCAAATTTAAGTTATTGACAACGTAATTGGGTTGGTTGTTGTAAGTAGTCGATGCGCGTATAAGCCCGTCCTATAAAAGCGAAAGTCTGTTTCTTGTCTTTCCTCCTTTTTTTTAATGTATAGACATTTTTTTTATAGTGATAAATCAATGTTATGACAGTGTTTATTTTACCCTTTATATTTTTAAGAACAGTTTTGGTATACATTCGTTTCGTACTGGCTTAATAAATCCCAATTTTCTTGATATAAAAACAAATTGTAGAGTACGTAACACATTTAACAACCTTCAATATATATATACGTATTCTTCTTTTTTTTTGAGAAAATAAAATAGTATTTTTGACGGTATTTTTTGTGACAATTTTTTTGGGCTTTTAGACATGGTGATAAAACAATTCCTGAACTGTTAACGATGTTAGTGTCAAGGGCTAAACCGCTACCAGTCGCAATGGGAGCAGCAAGGTGTCTCACCTTCATACACCGGGCGGGGGCGTTACCCGCAGATGATAACGGGTAAGTTTTACAGATTTAATGGATAAATTCTTTCAAACATTGTATGCTAGTAATGCCAGATATCCTTATATTTTTTTATTATAGGAGTTCTTAGAAAGAAAGAATTTTTGAATTATATATTTAGTTAATATACAACATCATATTGCAAGCTTATTTTCGCAGTATGTTTGTCAATTATGTACTCGGCCCTTTTTAACGTCCCACTGCTGGGCGCGGACCTCACTTAATACGAGGGGGATCAGGCCTTTGTCCACCACGCTGGCCATAAAAACTTACTAGGTTCTCTCAGACATGCAGGTTTCCTCACGATGTTTTCTTTTACCGTAAGGCAAGTGGTAATCATGTTGGAAATGATTCGCACATGAAAATATGAGAGATGTGAGACCCGGGATTTGAATCCGCTTCGCTTCAAGCGAGCGCGTTACCGCTGTCTTTAAGTCTATAACTATTCTAGTAATACCAGTTTCTATTGTTTATATAATTTTGAATAATTTTTTTGATCGAGTTAAAGGTATATTTGTAAGTTTTACAATATTTTTTTGTTTTTCTCTTTTTTTATATTAATTCTATAGTAGGGAGGTGACGTGAGCAGGTGATAAAGTTGATAACTTCAGAACGTGTTTTCAAGAAATACGTGTATCAAAATGCGTCATTGTAAAAAAGGCTGATACGTATTTTTTTAATATTGTTTCATGTACCTATATGAATTGTTGAATGTATATAAATAAAACAGTTTTCAAGTTTATTTAAATTCAATGAACGAATAGAGAGAATAAAGGATTTCTCTAACATTTTTGCGGTATTTTAGGCGGAGGTAATCTAGTGGCAACATGCTCACTTCAAAAACCAAGTGAAGAGATTCAAATCCTGGGTCTCGCACCTCTGATACTCTTATGCGTGAATCATTTTCAACAAGTGTGTTACGATGAAAAAAAAAACATCCTGAGAACACCTGCATATATGAGAGAAACTAACTAGCTGGTTTTTATAAGACGTGTGAAGTCCGCCCAACAATTGTCCAGCGTGGTGGACTATGGCTGATCCCGTTCTCATTGAAATGGCTGTCCAAAAATGGGATGTTAAAAACTATATAAATACAATAAAATTATATAACACACTTTGATATACAAAGACTCAAGGTACTTAATTAGCCTCACAAAAGTGTCCACAAAAAGATGTACACAATTCGAATTTCATTTTATATATTAACGGTAACACAGTATTTTTGACCATTCCTTTGTTACAGAGTTGTGTTTGGAGCTTTACCATGTCTTGCGCGGCTGTGTACGAAAGACATGCCCGAAGATATTAGAGCGACAGCCGCCGAAACCTTAGCGTATTTAGCAGAAGTAAGAATTTAAACTATAACTTATTTGTTCTTCTATTCTAATATTATAAAGAGGAAAAATTTGTTTTTTGTTTGTTTGTATCGAATAGGCTCCGAAACTACTGGATTATTATAAATTAAATATTACTGATTTAGATGAAATTCGGTTAGAAGATAGTAAGAGACCCTGAGAAGGACATAGGATAGTTTTTATCCCGGAAATAATCGATTAAGAGGGTGAAAATAGGGATGAAAGTTTGTACGGGGAAGCAACCTAGGTACTAACCCGAGCGAAGCGAGGGTTCGTCGTTAGTATGATATATTTTGATTATAATCCAAACATCTTTGGTACTTCGATGTTTATTGTGGATATAATAAAATGCAAAATATAATTATACTTTATGTGACTATATTATAACAAATCATAATATCTGGCCAAGTGTGAAAAGATACGGTTACGAATTTTTAAATTTTTTATATTATATTATTGAAATAGACATTATTATCGATGCAGAGGTCGAATCTATAGTTTTTAGAATTTTTGTCTGCATTGAACGCATCCAAGAAAAGTACTGGACGGGTTTTGATGTGGTATGGTGATACTTGGTAATCTGGATCAACATTTAGGATACTTTTTATTGCGGGAAAATATCTTATCTCTGAGAAATCTATACTATCTGTCAAAACGTAGGGATAAACCCGAGCTGAGCGAGGGTGAGTCGCTAGGATTCTCATAAATAAATAAATATGTTGGGACAAGAACACACAGCACCACCTAGTTCAATTGTAAGCTACGAGGCGTGTTATGGATAGACAGATAGTTGGTACACTAAATATATATAACTTTAAATACATACATATTATAAATATAAACACCCATGACTGGAGTACAAACATTCGTGCTCATCACACAAATGAATGCCCCAAGCGGGACTCGAAGCCGCGACCGCTGGCACGGCACGTAGGGCCACTACAAACTGAGCCAAACGTGTCGTCAAATATGTATATAAAGTATTACTTTAATTATCTAACCAGGTGGACACATCCCTCCAAAGGCTAGCAGCGATATCTAACCACTTGATGACGTCATTGGCGGACATTGTGAACTGCCCTTCGGCCGCGGCCAAGCAGGGCGCCTTCAAGTGCTTCGCGTCCCTCGGGGCCAACGACGAGGATATACGCAAGCGCATCATAGAAACCCATGGACTCATGGTGCATGTGGTCAATGGCATGACATACCAGGAGCCTTCGGTACGTGTTGTAGGGTCTCATAAATAATATAAATGTTGATTGATAGAAAATTCCTCTAGATAGATAGGTCTCTCCCATGACCATGATATTAAAGCATTTGAAACGTCGGGAACCAAAAATCAAAATAAATCTCCGAAAAATCCGAAAAGATAGTTTTATTTAAAGTGATAGAAAAGTTAAGGAGTAGGTTGTTGTTTGTGTTGCAGTTTCTTTTAAATAACATAGACAAAGAACAGTCAGTCAGTCTGTCAGTCAGAAGATTGATGCCTGAAATAGTATTCTATTTGTTTGCCATGAAAATAGGCGACTCCGGGAAGCATGCTCACAATTACATTTCGCTTCATTATATCATTTCATTGCTCTAATGATCTTCCAAAGAGGCTGGGTGACGGCTAGTAAATAATCCAGTATATCACTATTCAGAATTTCTCTCAAATTCGTTGACCTGTTACATAATGAAGAAGCAACTAACGCAGCCACTTAGTCACTTGCAAATTTTTGTATTTATTATTAGCGTGATGATAACACGATCTGTTCAAACTAAGTTGCACTAGTTTAATAAAATGTGATTAACTTGATTTTTACAACATAAGTGTTTTCAAGAACTTTTTAAGATATTCATTTGCCGCCTTTTTTTTTAACGTTGGGAAATGCATTTACGCACGAGGTGTGGGACTCACCGGCAAATCCAGTACTACCCACTAAAACCTTCCCCCGTCTTAATGGGGAGCATTCAACTACGACGCCCCGACTGCAGGTCTGCCGAGGCAGACCATAACGACCATGGGGTTGCTCCAAAGTCCACTCTGCTATCAGAGAAGTACCATGAGCAACCCGCATGGTACACCGCCCTCCGAAGAGGGCCACCTCCCTATGTATCTCTTGACAACTTGGCCAATTTGACATTTGGCCAATCCTTAACGTTAACTCGAGTAATAAGTTACCTCTACACAAAATTTAGTCGGTCCAATACCTTCGGCGTGAAATCCACACATATATCTATCTAATATATTTAAACGAGCAATTCTTGTATATATATTTATATATATCTATATAATCTGAATCTCAGAAACGGCTCCAACGATTTTCATGAAATTTAGTATAGAAAGGGTTTCGGGGGCGATAAATCGATTTAGGTTAGTTTTATGTCTGGGAAAACGCGTGTTTTCGAGTTTTCATGTGGTTTTGTTTCGCATTATTCCATGCAAAATATGGTCGCTAATTCGCACGCTAGGACATAAGCATCGTGGTCAAACGGCCAAGGCGCAAGTTTGACAACCACAGGTGTCTAGGTTCGTATCCCGGTCAGATACAAAAGTTTTACTTTAGTTTTTATTTTTCAATTTTTTTCTTTCATTCAAATTTTTTGTTATTTAAATGTTTTTTTGTCCAAAAACTCCGAGCGAAGCTTGGTCACCCAGGTACTATACTTAAACAGAGAAAAAGTACAATAACTATTGTTTTGGTGTCTATATCTGTCTGTCTCTCCCTATATATTCTTAGATCTTTAAAACTACGCAACGGATTTTGATGCCGTTTTTTTAATAGGTAGAGTGATTCAAGAGGAAGGTTTATATCTATAATACATACATATTATAGTACAGAAAAGCCGAGAAATTCGAAGATTTATATTTCATACTAACCGTTATAACGTACCTAGGGACGAACCCGAGCGAAGCGTGGGTGAGTCGCTAGTTCTATATACAATACGTTACTGTCATTGTTTTTAAAAGTAATATTTCATGTAAAGATTTTGCTAAGTTACGATTTTATTATATGTATAGATATTATTTAACAATTTTTCAGGTGAGATTAGCGGCCGTGAGATGTCTCCATTCACTGTCAAGGTCGGTGCAGCAGTTACGGACGACGTTTCAGGTAAATACATTATGTATTTCTATTGTTATTCCTTTGTTGATATGGTAATTTGGACGTATTGTTGCCTTCTGACACGCTTTTTATTATTGTTAGCTTCACTTGTAACTATGTAGTCAAATCTTGGAAGTCGGTTTCCAACAAGTAATGAATGTTAAGTATTTCTACCAAATTACTATTGACTGTACAATAATATTGTGAAAATCGTCAATAATTGACGACACGTTTGGCTCAGTTTGTAATGACCCTACTTTCTGTGCTAGCGGTCGCGGGTTCGAGTCCCGCTGGGGACATTCGTTTGTGTCATGAGCACGATTGTTTGTACTCCAGTCATGGGTGTTTATGTTTATAATATATATGTATTTACATATAATAAATAAATGGCTACTAGTCAAAATTTTAAGGATTTATTTGAAATATTCTAATTGATTATCGGTTTTATTTTCAGTTGAATTTTATTAACTACTTGCGATTTACCCTCGCTTTGCTCGGGTGTCTCCCTAGGTTTGTTCTTAATAGATCGAACTAGTTATTGCGAGTGTACCTTAGGAGAGAGACATTCTGTTTTTCTGTAGGCCCTTCTAAGACCTATAATTTGTTACCTTAAATTTGCAAAGACGACTCGACAAAAGGAAGTAGGGAGATAAAAATATATTTGATTAAATACAGTGTAAACTCTTTATAACAAAACTCAAGGGATCGAACATTTTTCTTAATTACACAGAGTTTTCGTTATATTGGGTGTCGAAGAAGTATAATAAAGTTTTCTAATAATGAAAACCCAAAATCGGAACGCACACGAGCGAAGCGAGGTTAAGTCGCTAGTCTTTACATATAATAAAATTCTGAGTCGAATCTGTACATTAAATATTTTTTGGAAAATCTTATTGAAACAGACATTGTTATCGATACAGAGGCCGATTTTAGTTTTTAACATTTTTGTCTGTCTGTATGTCTGTCTGTGACCGCATCACGGAAAAACCACTGGAGGGAGGTATTTTGATGAAATTTGGTATGATGATAGCTGGTTATCCGTGTCAACATATAGGATAGTTTTTTCTGCGGGAAATCTACACTAAACGTTAAAACGTAACTAGGGACAAACCCGAGCGGAGCGAGGGTGAGTCGCTAATCTATACATCTATACAGATAAATAAAATTGAAGTGTCTGTTTGTAATGACAAAAAAATAGCTTTTTACAAAATGCGTATGAAATTGTATACGGTACTTATAAGTTTTTTTAATATTTTTGTCTGTCTGTCTGTTTTTTTCGGCTAATCTCCGAAACAGCTGGACTGATTTTGACGGGACTTTCTCTGGTAGATAGATGATTTTATAAGGAATATTATTAATTTTTATTTTAAGAAAAATAAATTAATAATATTCCTTATAAAATCAAAATGGCAGGACCACGCGGTGTGGCGGCCGCTGATGGAGCTGCTGACGGACGAGCCGGGCGCCGAGCTGCTCACCGTGGGCTCCTCCACGCTCTGCAACCTGCTGCTGGAATTCTCGCCGGCCAAAGAGCCCATGTTAGACCAAGGTTTGATTTGGTATTGGATGGTTTGTTAGCGATATCTGTCAGATGGGCACGGGCCTCCCTTCAGTACGAGGAGGATTAGGCCATAGTCCACCACGCTGGCCAAGTGCGGGTTGGCGGACTTCACATGTCTTTCGAAAACTTGCTAGGTTCTCTTAGACATGCAGGTTTTCTCACGATATTTTCCTTCGCCATATGTCAATGATTGGAGATATTTTGAATAGATCTATCTTTCCACATTTTAGATTTTGTTTCCAACACAACTGTTACATGATCAGACAATCAAGAGATGAATATTTTTGTAGATTCTTGACTTATGAGATTTTAAAAACCTTAGAATCTTCTATGAACTTGTTTATTGTATTACGCATTTGAAATGTCTGAAATAGAAACAAAACCGCGAGAAAATTTAAAAAAATATTTTAATTGTCAAATATTTGTGTAAATTTTAGAAAGTACTCACAGTATCTGTGACAAATACCAGTGTGATTAAATAGGATATTTTAAATAAGACTCTTTTCGTATTTTTTTTGCGATATTATTTTGATTTTTGGTTTCCGACGTTTCGAATGCTTTACAGAAATCATGTTCACGGAAGAGACTAAGATTTTAGACATCTCATCTTATAAGCTACAAATTCTACCCCCAAGCTAAGAAAACACAATTTTATTTTTGCTCCACCCTAATATATAATGACTACTTGTATATATATATATATATATATATATCCATGAAAAAAAATCCGAAAAGATAGTTTCATTTAAAATGTCAAATATCCGCGTAAATCTAAGAAAGTATAATGAATGAATGTAAATTTTTTTGTTGTATTTTTTTCAGTTCTTTGAAAAGTTCTTCTTTAATTTATCCAGGTGCTGTAGAAATGCTGTGTAATTTAACGAAAAGGCCAGAGGCAGCTTTACGATTGAATGGTATTTGGGCGCTCATGAACATGGCTTTTCAAGTAAGTTTAAGATTACTTTATGGGTTACATGAATGCCCCTAAATAAAATTGTCTTTCAAAAAGATTTTGATGTGAAACATCTATAGCGCCTTGGCAGTACAACCGACTCATGGTGTGACGGCAAACGGTGGCGTAAACAGTCTCTAATAAAAATACGTATTTTCTATTCTATCTATGAATGTATATAATCTGTAATTATCATTATATTTAAAATAATAAGAAAAATAAATTGAATTTACCAAACGAAACTATTTTTTCTTTATTTTATTCCATATTATTTTGTTATAGGTTTTTATTAATTATGAACTCTAATATTAACATAAATGTTTCACATCTGCCGGGCGTCCCGTGACGACTATTTTTTTTTGTATATAAAAATCTTATATTTCAGGCAGAACAGAAAGTAAAACAACGTATTCTAAGCTGTTTGGGGACAGAGCAAATGTTTAGGCTATTAGGTGATGGGGACACTAGAGTTATAATGAAAACACTCGGTTTACTGAGAAATTTGTTGTCCACGAGGCATCACATCGATGCCATCATGGCGGAATACTCCTCGCAAGTTATGCAGGTTAGTTGTTATGGGGGAACGTTAATGATGTAAATGATTGTTTGTTATCATTTTAATGAATTATGTTTTTGTTATTTCTTTTATAATCTAGATTTCAATTTGAGAAACTAAATCAACATCACTACATTTTATATATTTATGATGAGTTTGTGTTTGTTCGGGCTATAGGAAACTATATATATATATATATATATATATATATATATATATATATATATATATATATATATATATAACATTAAAAAGTATCTACTATGCACTATATGATATTATTGAATTTAAACGGAAGAAATCGTCCTTTCTGAGAATTTTCGTATTATATGTAGAAGCGAAGGGCATAAAGACGGTAGCTTTATAATAAAATTACCTCAATTGATTTGATAGTTTCTATTTAAAATTGTAATGTTTGGTGACTTTACTTGGTTTTAATCTCTGTTTATGTATGAAGTACCTGGGCCATCGAGCTTCGCTCGGAGTTTTTGGTTAGACAGTACAATGTTCTTTAAAAAAATAATTAAAAACTTGAATAAATACAAAAAAAAAACAAAAAAAAATTATACCTTTGGATCCGACCGGGATTCGAACCCGGACACCTATGATTGTCAATCTTGCGTCTTTTTAAAAAAAAAACTAAAAATTCAATAAATATTAAAAAAAAATAAAAGTAAAAACTTTGTATGCAACCGAGATGCGAACCTGGACACCTAAGATTGTTGATCTTGCACCTTGACCGCTTGAACACGACGTTTTTACCCGAGCGTGCAAATTACCGACCATATTTTGCGTGGAATAATGCGAAACAAAACCACATGAAAACTCGAAAACACGCATTTTCTCAGACATAAGACTAATCTAGATCGATTTACCGCCCCTCGAAACACCCTGTGTACTAAATTACATTAAATTGTTAGAGCCGTTTCCGAGATTCAGATTACAATTAAAAAAAATAGTATTATTATTCGCCAATAGATGTCAGAAAGAGTCATTTTTTCAGTTTATGTTTAAGTGGCAACATTAGGACTACCCAAACGCACCCTTTTATTATTTTTTCCAAAAAAAAAAGTTTATGTTTTAGTTGATTATCGATAAAGTTGATTATTGAAAACACGAATAAAACGACATTTTCTAAAAATACCTGGGCCATCGAGCTTTACTCGGAGTTTTTGGTCAAGAGTACTACTTTCTTTTTAAAAAAAACAAAAAACTTAAATAAACTCAAAAAAAAATAAATAAAAATAAATTATACCTTTGTATCCGACCGGGATTCGAACCCGGACACTTATTCAATCTTACGCCTTGGCCGCTTGACCATGATGCTTATATCCGAGCGTGCGAAATTATCGAACATAATATTTTGCGTGGAATAATGCGAAACAAAACCGCATGAAAACTCAAAAACACGCGTTTTCCCAGACATAAAAGTAATCTAGATCGATTTATCGCCCCCGAAACCCTTTGTATACTAAATATCATGAAAATCGTTGGAGCCGTTTCCGAGATTTAGATTATATATTAATATATATATACAAGAATTGCTCGTTAAATATATTAGATTTACTTTTTTAATCATAGTTTAAGTGTTGAAAAATATCTTTACAGGCAGTGATAGTGGTGTTAGAAGGTTCATACCCCGCTGAGGTGAAGGAGCAAGCTCTTTGCATTCTCGGGAATATCGGTGACGGAGAGAAGGCGAAAGACTTGATTATGGCCAATGAGGACGTGTTGAGGAAACTTGTCGATTACTTGGTATGAGAATTGCCATTGTACAATATATATGCTTTATTTGATATGTTATTTTTATACTAAAATCCACAATATATATTGTACGGTGTCAAGTAAGGCTCATTTTATTACGCAATGTCAGCGTTGTCACCGACAAGCGTTGTTTTAATATGGAATTATAGCCAGTTCACATCACACATTCAAGATTTCATTTCATCACAAATTTAAGATTTGTCAAACAAATATCAATATTCATGGCGAACGGTTTTGGAGTTAAAGCGCTATGGTTTCATTTCGAAGCAAATTAAAGTTGTATTTGTCAACTCTGAAATCGTTTCCCGACTGTCATATAAAAGTAAGTATGACAGTCGGGTGCGCCTCCCCCGCGGCTTCGCCACGCTCCGTATGATTCTGTCCAGACGCCTTCGTTAAGACGACTGTATGGAGACTACGTTTATAATTGTGAAATAAGTGTGTATAAGTATATGGATTAGCAGACTGTTATAAGTACTTACCTCTATACATATATAATATATGTATGTATATACGTGCGTATGGATGTGTGTATGTCCACCAAGATAGCTTATATTTTATTCAACCCTTTTTAACTTGGCACTGCTGGGTTCGGGCCTCCTTTGAATATAAGGAGGATCAGGTCATAGTCCATCACGCTGGCCAAGTGTCGGTTGGCAGATTGCACATGTCTTTCGAAAACTTGCTAGCTTCTCTCAGACATGCAAGTTTGCTCACGATCGTTTCTTTCACCGTAAGACAAGTGGTATATTGGAAATGATTCGTACATAAAAATATCAAGAGGCGTGAGATCCGGGATTTGAACTCTCATCACTTGGTTTACTAAGGGAGTACTGTGCTTATAATTGTTGTATAAGTATGTGTATATAGGGGTGTGTGTATGTATCAGTGGCAAAGGGTTCATATAAGACGTCTTACCTTAAAATGTATTTTGCTATAATTTTACATACATTTAATTTTTTTTATGTATAAATGTTTTTTTTGGAAATATATACACATATAATAATAGCTTTATTTCCTTTTGCATTAATGCGTATATAAAACTTGTATATCAATATATATTTTTTTGTTTTTTTTTTGGAACGAATTATCTCTGCTATAATTTGACCCTTCGCCAGTGGTGTGTGCATAGTATGTGTGTGTCGGCAGGCGCACCCCGAGAGCAAGCTGCAGGAGGCGGCGCTGTTCGTGGCCGGCAACCTGGTGTGGCGCGGCGAGGCGGGCGCGGCGGCGCGGCAGGCGCGCCTCGCCGACCTCGGCGTGCTGCGCGCGCTCAAGCTGCTGCGCGCGCGCCACGACGCCGCGCACCTGCACGACAAGTCTGTCACTACACTATATCTATAATTATTATGTATTTCTTAGATTTACGAGAATATTTGACACTGCTTGCTTCCCCATACATTCATCCCCATTTTCATCCCCTTAAGGGATGATTTCCGGGATAAAAAGTACCCTATGTCCTTCCCAGGGTGTCTATACTACCTTCTTAACAAATTTCGTCTAAATCGGTTCAGTAGATCCAGAGATTACCCCCTACAACGTCACAAACTTACAAACTCACAAACTTTACCTCTTTATTAGTATAGATTTAAAATTTAAACTGTCTTTTCTCACATTATTTAACGGATTTATTTTGATTTTTGATTTCCGACGTTTTGAATACAACGATCATGTTCACGGGAGAAAAGGTTTTAGACGTCTCGAAGGCGTTGTATACTTATAACTATACTAAATGTCTGTAAAAAATAAGAAATAATCTGAAAATATAGTTTTATTTAAAATCTCAAATATTCATGTAAATCTAAGAAAGTATCTATTGCATTTATAAAAGTATAATGAATGAATGTATCTATTTCATTTATAAAAGTAGTCAGATAAATAAAATAAAAATCGATTCAAATGCGAGTCGAATTCACACACAAAGGGTTCCGTAGCATCACATATTATACTTTTTACTAATATGACTTTTGCTCTACTTTATGTATGTAATATATTAACTTCGATGATCGATTACAAGCGTTAAAAAAATATCTCTTGTTTTTTATTTTTAATGTTTGTTGTTATAGCGGCAATAGAAATACGTGAAAATTTCAACTCTCTACCTATTACAGTTCATGAGATACAGACCTCTGACAGACGGACGGATGCACAGCGGAGGCTTAGTAATAGGTTCCGCTGGCACCCTTCGAGTACGGAACCCTAGAAAGTCTATATACGATGGTACGGAACTCTTCGTGTGCGAATTCGACCCTTATTTGACAGTTTTTTTTTAATTTTATAACTTTTTTTTTATACAGAGTAAAAACAGCACTGGCGCAGTTCAACGACTTTACATAAAGAGCATGCGAAGGATTGATTACACGTAAGAGTGTCTGCGTCGTACTCCGCTTGTGATATAGTCCAGGGATAGTGATTTATCGAGTCATAACAGTTAACTAATGATAATTCTAAACGACACTAAGTATTTAAATGTACATAGCTAAGAATTTGTTGTCTCAATATTATTGAAGTTATTTATTTTAGTTATCGTGTTGACAATTACATTCATTCACCATTCGCTTGTTGCTTTGGTGATATAGTCTCATTCATTCTTCAATATTTTTTCCTATTCAGTTTTATTACGAAAATCATGTTACTATAATATTCTTTTAGTTTATCGACAATTATTTACATATATAATCGACTCATTTTCATGATAAAGTAGCTGTATATTTTTAATATTGTCATTTTTTGAAATATCATGGGTTTGAACGATTAAATTTAAAGGTTAAAAAGATTAAACCTTAAAATGTGTCATCGGCTAACTAAATGTAGTTTGACTACTATAGTATAAATTTTTAGCAATTTTCTCAGCTTATTGACAATATATGTAATGAAATACAGCACGGTACAGAAACGTGAAGTGATAATGATTGTAAGTGATCGTAGCTTTTGATATTGTAATTCGAAGAAAAGACTGTTGGTTGAAACCTTTACGATGGATTGGTAAATTAAACTTCTTTTTCATTTCCACAAATGTATACGTCTTCTATAATTCTTATAAGATATATATATATATATATATATATATATATATATATATATATATATATATATATATATATATATATATATATATATATTGCCATGAAGTTTTTATTTCACAGTATATATGTATATTAAATATGTATAACTTGTGGTAATGACAGATGTCAATATTATCTATGATCCCACAGATTAAAAATATATGTACATTTAATCTATATTGATACTTTAATGATGACGGTATAGAATCTCATTGTGACTAATAGCTTATGGAATTGCAGAATTTATAAGCTTTTACAGACATGTAAGGTATAAAATTTGGTATGCTTGTTTCATTACGTAATAATTATTGTAACCTTAAATGTATTTTCGTGTTCATTAATTCCAATATATATTCCATATAAATTCAGATATTATGTGTCTATATTCTGCGTTAACATGTCCTGCTATTGAAATGGAAGAAAATTAAAAATAAAATAACGACTGAAAAGTATTAAAATATACTATATTTGATAAAAATTATTGAGGCATTTACAAGGTAGCATCACAGAATAAAACTTACATTATCTGTGATAGCGCCATCGACGAAAGAAAGCGAGACAAGTTAACACAGAATATTTATAACCAATAACTATTATAAATACAAAATAATTAAAATTGATGTATATTTTGTGTACATTATGAATAGATTAAAAATTAAAAAAAAATACTCATATTGGTGTTCAATTCGTGTCATATCCGTGTTAGCGTTTAACTGTTCCTATTGAGTTACTATTGAAACTTTGTGATGTATCGTCTTTTGTGGCCTAATTTTTGAACAATTCAATAGCAAATTGGTGGTAAAGTAAAAATTATAATATATTAATAAAAAATATATATAACATAATGCTTTAATATTGTGGGGCTTAATGTACCCCATCGATTTGCTAGCTGAATTAATGTCTATTTGATCAAATATGCCATATATTAGTGTTGTTCTCAAAAAAATATGTTAAATAATTATACTATTGATTTGAAAATTTCATTAATTATATACGGTATGTAGAAATGAATTAATGAAATCTTGCCGCATAAAGGTTTACTTTCTAAGTAAATTTAAAAATAATAATTGTGAATTGCTAAAGCCATTGGTAAGATTTTGATGTTATTAGCAAAATTTTTCGAATAAATATTTATATTCATATTGTATAATGTATCACGAGTTGATATTGTGACCTTTCCAAGATGACGATTTAATTGATTGTTTCTGACATTTATTACAATTATATAACAGATTGTTCTTTTGCGCTTAATTACTCTTCTTCATTCTGTCAAATGACTTTATTTATACCAGTTAAGTTTTCTGTTGAATATGAACGGATAAAGAAAAAATATTGTTGTTTTATTTGTTACTAGTCGACTCATCTTCGCTTCGCTCGGGATCTTCCCTAGGTATGTTTTAACGGTTAGTATAGAATATAGAATATAGACTATATTATATATAAATAGGTATTATCAGTTGTTGTGGGTTGTATTATAACGTGTTTTCCCGTGGGAGTGAGATAATCTCCCGCTGTTAAAAGCATATGTTACTCTCCAGCAATACTACTATTAAAACACAAAATATTACGCCAATCCATCACTCTGTTTCTACGTGAAAGAAGGATAAACAAACACACTTTTACTTTTATAACATTAATGTGGATTGCATAAAAAGTAAATTCTTTTTTTAAATGAATTAGATAGAAAAAATCATTTTTCTATCTAATTCATTTAAAAAAAGAACGGAATTCGAGTCCACTTTTTTGTGAAAAATAAACGTCCGTTTCAATATACCAATAGATAATCGAATTACAATAGTTATTTAGTATAAAGTCAGCGTTCATAACTTCGCGACCTGACTTCACTTGAACACCTCTGAGCCTCACTCAAAACCTACTCGGATGTCTTGTCACTGCTACTGCAAATCTAGCAAGATTAGTTTTAAGAATATACCAGACCAGCCTTTATATGATTTACAGTTCTAGATTAAGAGATAACAGTTTAGGTCTATGAGTAAGTTATAATCGCCGTATTTATAAGTATTGGAACCCAAGAATATGAAAGCCCTTTTTTTTTTGAAGTGAAAGTTTAGGCGCGCTATGAGAGGGTATTACGATTTTTGTAACGGAAACGGTTGTTATGAAAGTGAATAAATAGTCAATTAAAAATTATTTAAACTATAATATGAATATTTCAAAGAATAAATGAAATAAAAATAGATATTTATAAAAAAAAAATTACTTGGAATAATTAAACATAATTTTTTTTTCAATAAAAAAATAATCCCTGTATTAAAATGTTGTAACGATTCAATAAATTATATAATCCAATAATAATATTATTGGAGTATATAATTTATTGAATCATTACAACATTTGATTGAAAATAAAATTTTATCTTAACACCATCTGTTGTGAATAATAAATTATTTTTTTCCTTTTTAAATCGATACAAAATATTTTTTTAGTATCTCCTATCCTAGTAATTTAAAACATAAATTGAATTTCATAAAAAGTACCTACCGTTATCCTACCGAAGTTTCACTTCTTGCGCGTGTATACATTGATACACGCAGTCTTTAATTTATTTATTTTGTTCCTTGTCAGAAATATACATGAAATATATCTTTATTTAGATAATAATAAAAGAACGAACTTAGTCATTTTTTTTATTTTGTCTTATTTAGAATTTTGCAAACTTAATATCTACAATTTTATTGTTGCAGGGAGGCAAAGGCACTAAAGTTTATATGTATATATAGTTTTCAATTCAATTATCTTTTTGATGGATTCAAAGAGTGTCAGTTGAGCTATACCTTTATCACGGTAATGTAATGCATACAGTATTCCAACTCGGGATTGTCCTTGAAATAATTACCTACAGCCGAGCGGCACGTACCCACGCGACAGGGCTGCCCGCCGGCCAGTATTTTAATTTCATTATCTTTTTAATTTCATCTACCTACTTGAGTTTCTTTCTAGTTTTGTGATTTCAAATATTATATATTTTATTTAAAAAATATTATTAGTAGATTTAATTAAAAAATCTTAAATTTATAAGGGTGGTATGTGACCCTTATAAATTTGAGATTTAAAAATATTTGCGTCTCGACTGAGACATACGCTTTATTGTTAAATTTAATAGTATATTATCCGCATTCGGATAAAATGTTTCATTAAAAATACTTTTATTTTTATTTTTAATTTAATTAATTAGTTTTTATTTTTAAAACATACGATGTCTCGATACTTTTTTGTTTCACATAATAACGAATTTACGGGAGGAATAAAATGTTT